CCCATGCACCCATGCACCCATGCACCCATGCACCCATGCACCCATGCACCCATGCACCCATGCACCCATGCACCCATGCAACAACACTGAGGATGTGCTATTATTTCATGATACCCCCTTGATAGTGGTTGCTACTTTCTCATTTTTGTGAAACCCACACTTGCATCATTATCAATCTATCACAGCCCTTTCAGTTAATCATACCCAGTTAATTGATACCCCTTCGCGTTAATAATCTAAAAAAAACGTGATTCGCCCCCTCTGTATCCTATGACTCCCCTCAGGCGATAAATAATGACCAGTTCTTAAGGGTATGTTGTTTTTGCTAGCAAGAGCAGTTTTCGTATGACTGTGAAAATGTCGGTGCCGTATGCTTGCCTTGACGGGACCGTGATGTTTTCTAGAATTTTGATTGGGGGATTTTTTCGCGCAAATTAATCCATCGTTTTGACAGTGCCGTGATCTTAGCGTTTTTGGGCAATGTGATTGGTCGGCGTACGCCTTGCCGTGTCAAGAACGTGTTCGTGCCGTTGGCTTTTCAAAGTCATACAAAAAAGTGCTTTGTGTAGGGTTGAACGATGTTGAACGTCGATGGCTAAACAAAAAAAAGGAAAAACTGAAATTCCGATCCCCAAAAATAAAGCACATGATGAATAAGTAATTTGTACGACAAAAAAGAGTTAAAAATTTACAGGTACTATACCATACATTGTCATTATTATTGTTATGGGTTTATTTTCTAGAATAACCCTTATAAATCTATTAAGGATAATTGCTGGTTTGTCTTGACAACAAAAACATGTAAGCTGCAGGTGTAAGCCCGAGTTTTTCTAACATGCAACGCAATGTTACTTATTTTATTTTTTTATTTCTTTATTTTATTATAATCTTTTTTAGTATTGCCATGCAGCGCAAGAGCAAATGTATCGCCTTGCAACAACAGCATGAACACTGCAGAATGCCCGCAGAATGCTCAAATGTTAAAAATTTTCTCTGCATCGCATGTACCAATAGGCAAGAGTTTACTATACGTTGCCTCTTCCCTTTGCAACAAAATCTAAAATTGCACCAACCAGCGTAAGAAAAACTAGCAGCGAGTATAGGCTGTCTTTAATCGTAATTAACTGCAATATTGGATCATGTCCAGAAATAAAGAGATAAGATTATTAATAACCACCTTGGCACGCATAATGATGCTTTATTAAAACTAAAAACATGCAACATAAACATTTAAACTAACCACCAGCGAATCAGAGGGCACGTAGTACCTGTTGTTGAGTATCCATCCAAGCTTGAGCGGTGGGAAGTAGCGTCTGTTGAAAAAGAAATATTCACGGGAGACGAAACAAGAAAAATGGCGAGATACTAAATCTGTTGAAGACACTGTCAACAATAAATTTACAATATACCGAGGGATTTTAAGAGAAACATAAGGTAAGATGCCGTCGACCGAGTTATCTATATAGCTATGTTATAAAATAGTTTTCCCCCCGAATGATACAATGCAAAGCAAGAAAGAGTTTCACATATCCATAAAAACTGCAAAAAGCAGCAAACAGATAGAATTTACTGAGAAAATGTAAGAGAAAATTAAGGTGAGTGGTATAGTGGTTCTTTTTAGCAATCGCTGTAGTTATAAATGTTAAGACTTTTTTAAAATTCTTATGCAATGCAAAGCAAGAAAGAGCATCAACCCGGATGATCATAATACAAATATTGCTACTTCGATAAACAAAGAGCATCAAATCTATAAAAAAAAGCGCTACAAAAAGTAGCAGTTATCTCTTATCCTTTATGCTTCAGTTCCACCAGGTTTCAACTCCCTCATTTAGCAAAAAGATCAGAAGTAGCACGGCTAAGTAACTAAATTCTTGTGCCATTGCTTGTGCAAAAAAAGTATTCCAAAAATCTATAATCGTTGGAAGATTTTAATTTTGAATATTACAAAATTTAAGTAAGCTTATACAGTTAGCCTTTTACAAATTTTTTTATTGACCACAATTCATAAAAGGTATTTTATAGATCATAGAAAACGTTACAATAAGTTTTACGACTCTCTTCTACGGCTTTTCATCTATTTCAGTTGCCGTAGTTTATTGCACATGCATTGTATTGTGTACACAAGATTGAAACAAATATATCTTTTTCTGATAACACATCACAGAAAATATAAAACCATGAAAAAGAATGAATTCTCATTCACAAAAAACGCCCTAGTTCTTATGAAAGAATGATAGGCAAAAAAAGTGCATTAAGTATGCCGATAAGGGCTAAGAAAACACCAAGGACTGCAATATAAGAAATCAGCTATTTTGCCTAGCGGCAGGGGACGGTATGTGTTAAGTTTATATAATACGATATACGATATATTACAGTAAATCTATCAGAACAGCCATCATTATCATAACGTCTATAGGATTATAAGATTCCTGTTAAATAAAAACTGGAATAGGAACTAAAATCAGGTTTTTTAGAAGTAACAGAATAACAAGAAGTAGTACGCCGAGTGCTCCTCCACAGATAAATTTGACAGCTCGAAATATTTTAAACTTTATGATAAAAAGCATACACTTCCGATTTTGTTTGCAGAATTACTTCTTTAAGAGTAATCAGTAGTAAGATTTGAATTTTCAATGGTTGAAGATTTTGCGGATGTTTAAAAAAGTGTATTTGTTTTGTCAACGATTTTGAAATATTTGACTGTTTTATTTTTTGCAAGCACTAAAACCAATACCTTAGCTATATGTCGTAATAGAGGAATGGTCAATTTTTATTAGAAAATTCTTGTAGGTAAGACTTTGTCTAAGGATTAAGAACCTTGTAAAATTTGATTGAGACGTTTTGCCCTTTCCATAGTGGTCACTAATTCAAGGACTGAAGCCATACCTGATCAATGCTCTAAATGGAAAAGTCTTCTACATTGTGTATTTCATTTACATTTACCCATACGTAAAGTGCCATGTTTTGCAGTAAAATTAATTTATAAGCAAATTCATGCTGTTAAATTATGCTGTTGTATTACTTTTTTATTCATTTTTTTCATTTACTTTATTTATTTTCTTCCATCATTTTTCATGTAAAACAAGTTTTTGAGAGTTTCCCCTCTTGTTTTCCTTTCATTTATTTCCATGCATGCTTTTGAAAACAGTGCCATTAGCATTCATTTTACTAAAACAAATATTTAATCCTTGGCTTCCGTCAGTAATTCGGAACTGAGCGCTGTTGGATGATACAACATCCATTGTTGTTAGGATTGAACCCACGAGGTCATTATACAAACCTTAGATGAGCAAGGAAAAGTTTGAAAAATATTATAGAAAATTCAGGGGAAAAAGAATTATAAAATAATTAAAAAAGCATGCTAAACATAAAAAACATACTACTACAAATTTTACCCAACTGAAACAAATAGATAAAGCCAGTAATATAAAAAAATAATATAATTGTAACAAATCTTATCACAATAGAAAAAAATAAAACTAATATGATATAACTAAAATCTCACACGTACACACAAACCAATCGAACTAAATAAAACTTAAGGCTATATAACACTGAATACAGTACAATAATACTAAAACAGTATTGTTCTTACGATTAGAGAGATTTCTTTTGTACTTTCTTGAAAAAGATAGTTTATGATTAATGTACAAACATTAATAATTATATTATTGTAGGCAATTCAGTGTTTTATTTCATTTTCTTTCTGTAATTGCACTAGACAATGACTACTAGATTTTTGCTACACGGGTTAAATCACGTTTATAATATTTAAAATCAAGATATAACGGCCAAATTTCAAAATCAACAAATTGAACAGGTTGGAAGGTTTTTCATAATCTTACATAAACAATAATCTCGGAGCCAAAACAAAATATTGAATAAATCCAGTTGCAAAGTTAATAAGTAAGAAACGTTTATTGAATTGGGTCTTAAATAGAATTCATATGAAGAAATGCTAAAATTTTGAACGAACGTGTACTGAACATTATATACATGGATCCATTGTTTTGGGATTTCTTAGCTTAAAATGACAAATATATCAATCTTGTTATTCCAAAGTAGATTCTTCGTAAGGTTTAAGCTCTAAGAACGCGGAAAATGACAAATTTCATTTTCATTATCACTTCGAACTATGAACTAAAGCCAGTATCAACTTTGGCAATGTTTAATTGAAACAACATTTGCTCGCAACTTAATTTTCAAAAGAGAGAATTTTGTTATGATGGTTGAAATAAAAGACRCGTTAGAGACAACTAACTATAGCAAATCTTTTGATTAGCACAAACTTATCTTCGTTTCTATGGAGATAAACTCTTAGCTGAACAATGTAATAATAAATTCAGTCTGGCAAGGTTACAAAGCATTCCATTTCCAAGTACAAACTCTTGTAAACGCTCGTTTAGTGTTTTGTCAATATTACAAGCCATATTTGGTCATGTTTGTTTTTAACAGCTGATTATGCTAGTATAACTCGCTCTTGGAAATGTTAGCAGGTTCCAGGAGATTTAATGTTGTTAAAAATCATGGTAACGAGTAGAATTAGTAGAAGATTTATGGCGGTTATAAACGGTCGTAATTAGGAGAGGATTTTCATAATATGTATTTTTGAATTTTTAGGACGCTTTGAAAATACAGAATTTATAACACTAAGATGGTATTCTCGCCAAGATGACCGAATCAAAGGATAGACAAGAATACATCCTCGAAAGTTCTGATGAAGATACGGATCAGACTGTCCACCAAGATGGGGCTGCAGAGGAAAGTTACCGACGAGAGATCGAAGATATTGTAAAGGGTTTTATATTAGAGAAAGATCTAATGTCTCAAGGTCATGAAGAAGAGGTGATCCGAATGAAAGAAAGCTTCCAAAGGGAGAAAGTTGATTTATTGAGACATTTGGAAGAAGAAAGAGAAGCTCTTAGGCAAAACTCGAGAATGACTTCGGTAACAAGTAATGAGGCAGGATATGCTTCGGGATCACATGCCGAGTCTGAAGCTTTCAATTTCTACTCAGGTGAATTAGCAAGCCCAAAAAGACAAGCAGCCAGTCTCAGCTCCGCGGCCGGTGATGTTGATAATAATTTAATTAAAGAAATAGCAGAGGTATATCTTAGAATGAATGATGGAATAATAACTAGTAGAATCAGACCTGACTTGGACATCGAGGACAAGTTTGAGCGAGAGAGAGAAATATTAGAAAGGAAATTTGTAGCTGAGAAGAGAGAAATGAAGCGCAAATTAGAAGATGATTTTAATCATAAGTTGGAGCAAGAGAAGAATAGGTACGAAGGACAAATTCAGGAATTAAAGACAGCGATAACGGATTTGCAATGGCAGAAAAGAGAGCTTGAAAGTCGAAACAGAAACGAGAAGGAAAAGAACGAAATCACCTTTGAAAGAGAAAGAAATGAACTGGAAAAACGACAATTGCAAGCAATTCATGAGGTGAAAAGAAAGCTGGAGGAGAAGTATTCGACAGATATTTCCAGGCAAAAAGATAAATACGAAGAAAATATAACAGAGCTCCAAGATGATATACACAAATTGACAACCCAATTGAGAGAATTAAACGAAAACCTAAGGCAGGAAAAAGAGATAATTGTTGGCAAATTTGAAAGGGAAATTAAAGAAATGGAGAAAACCTTTTCAGATCAGAGAAACACTTTAAAGATAAGCCTTGAATCGGAGTTTGCACTAAAGTTGGAGAACGAAACATCACTTTTGAAAAGTGTAAACAAAAAACTCCAAGATGATTTTGAATATTTGGAGCGAGAGAAAAAGGAGGCAGAGAGAAAACAGAAAGAAGAAAGAAGGAAACTCGAGGAGCATTACGAGATGGAGATTTCTGAAATGGAAAAGAGGCACGCAGAAGAAAAACGAAATGTGAAGTTGAAGATTGAGGAACGTTATCAACAAATCATGACTAATGAGCAAACGTCTGTAGAAGTGACTATTAATGAGCTTCGTGAAGAAGTGATGCTACTGAGACAGGAGAATTCTCAGATAGATTCTGCTTTCAGTGAAAGAAACGAAGAACTCCGTCTGCAACTGAATATGGAAAGAGAAGAATACAAAAAGAAATTGGAAAACGAGAAAGAAGATCTGATGGCTCGCTTGGAGAACGAATTCCATCAAAAGATGTTAAACGAGAATACCGGTCACTTCGAGTTGGTTCAACAACTGGATCGGGATCTTGGAATAATGAGGGCAAGATACGCTGAACTAGAAGGAAATCTGATGACAATCCGCCAAGAGAGAGACATACTTGCGAGAGAAAGAGAAGAAATGCAACGAAAATTCATGACGATAGAATTTGAGCTGGAAAAAAGGGCAAATTCTACGCGACCAGAATTCCAAAACGATGAAGGGGGTGATCTTGAGAAGCTTAAAGATGTAATCCGAAAGAAAGACCAAGAGATTTCGTCTGCAAATTTGCAAAGAGAACAGACTGAAATTGCTATATCAGCTTTGAGGAGAGAGAAAATGGATTTGGAAGACGAAATAGCAAATTTAAAAAGAAAAGCATCTTCTACTGTGATCAAAGAAGAGCCAAAGCCTGAAAGACCAAGCGTCGATAACAGTGCGTTGGTATCTCTACAAGAAAATGTTAGGCGCAAAGATGAAGAAATGCAGCATTTGAAACGAGAAAAGTTTGATCTCGATTCCCGATTAACTTCACTTCAGAGAAAGAACGAAGAAATGGAAGATGAATTGTCAGCCTTAAGGCGAAAGAAACTTGAAGTTGAAGACGAGATTTCCTCGATCAAGAGAGACAAATCAGACTCCGATAATCAGATTAGTGTACTAAGAAGAGAAAAAATGGATCTCGAAGAGCAGATAGGCGCACTTAAAAAGAAACAAGCAGAATTGGAAGACAATCTGTCAGCGTTTGCGAGAGAAAAGATGAACATGGAGCATGAAATTACACTACTTAAGCGAACCATTGACAACTTGGAGGAAGAGGTGAGGATACTGAAACAGAAGCTGACAAATAATGAACAGCCAAGTGGGGTCCATCCAGCACGAGGAAATAGAACACAAAGAATTGGTATGAATCCAGATTTGAAAAGAAAATATGGTGACAATTTCTATGACARCGAAGGTGAAATAACACGACAGAATGCAGAGACAGTCTGCGATAAATTAGACCAAGAACTTGACGTTTTCAATACCTCAACACGAAGTATAGAGAACGACTTTGATGAGCTTGTGCGACAAAATCGGGAGCTCGAAGCAACAGTACAACGTCTTGAAGAAAACAAAGCTGATCTGGAAAGAGACATTGCCAAGTTAAAGCACCAAAACGACTCGGCAACAGTCACAGCTAACCAGAAGGAAAACATGGACAGTAAGATTGCAAGTCTTAAAGAAGATTATCTTGACTTAGAAAACCGCATCTTGAAACTCCGTCGAGAAGAGAGCGGTCTGGAGGGGCACATCGAAGATCTTAAAAACAATGAACAAGATTTGAAGAAGGACATAAATGATTTGAACATTGAAGAAAAAAGGCTGCGCAAAGATATCGAAAGATTTCAGGATGAAAAAGAAAGATTAAAAAACACTATCAAAGATATACAACAGCAAGGACAAGGAAGTGGTCAACAAGAGAACGGAAGACGAATAACAGGAATCTCACAAGTCAGTATTGAAAGAGTACGAAAACATGAAAGCAAGGACCACGAGCTGGCAGAGCTTCGAAAGGAGAGAGATAGTTTGAAAAAAGAAATAGAAGTGCTTAAAAAGAACCTTGGGAGTAATAACTTCAATCAAAACCAGAAATCCAAGAAAAATGATAACTCCAATAACATGGTGAGCTACTCCAAGGAAATGAATGAAATTGAGAGAAACGAAGTCGTTACGTTGAAGAAAGAAAGACTGCAACTCGAGAAATCCGTAGCTGCTTTGCATAGGCAAAAAACCGAAATAGATACAGAAATTACGGTCAAACTGGAAACAAAGAAAAGAGAAGAAAACGACTTAAGCTCCCTTCGACGAGAGAAGATGGAGCTTGACATATTAGTTACGACATTATCGAGCAAGAAGACAAGACTGGAGGCAGAGCTTTCTGTAACGAAGGACGAGAAGAAAAAAGATGATGCCACGATTGATAACCTTCGTAGAGAAAAACACGAGATTGAGAGACAGTACTACGATTTGCAAAGCAAGAAAATGAAAATGGAAAATGATTTTTCTGCGACGGAGCAAGCGTGGAAGAACAAGGATAACTCATTATCAGATTGGCATCGTTCTGATATCCTGAAAATTGAAAATGACCTCAAGGATTTGAAACAGCAGCGTACGGAAATAGAGTTGGAAATAAAGAGATTGCAGTCAGTAAAAAACAAAGAGGAACATGAATTGAATGTATTGAGAAAACAAATGAAGGATTTACAGTCCCAAATTTCTGAATCAGTGAGGGTAGCAGAACAAGTCAATAGTCTATCAACAACTATAGTAAACAGAGATATTGATGACCAAGCATGGACGCAGACAGATGGTGCAAATCAAGAGTCCCCTAGAAAAGATCCAAACCAATTCAAGCATCCTACAAGGCCCAGAATACGAACAAGTATTGAGATACCTTATCTAGGAACCCGATCTAGAAGTCCAGATGGCAGAGCGAGGAGCTTTGATACAAGTGGGAGTTTTCTAATCCCACCAACTCAAACCGATACACAAGATTCAAAAAGAGATCACAATTCTGGGAGACCATCTGAGGAAAGGGTTGATGGAGAAAGAGGCTACACACGAGGCTACTTCGTAAAGTTTTCTGCTGATGGTAACGTAACAACGTTTACCGGTCCAAATGGTCCCTCTTTTGACAACAGCAATCCTCAAACAAATGGATACGTCTTAGATGAAAGAAATAGTAGAACCGTACATGATAATACACATCGATATCCAGGATCAAATTTCCGAAGAAATGAAGGTCCAGCTGACTCATTTAACAACTACGGCAGACAAGAAGGCTTTCCTCAACAAATGGAAGACATCAGTGGAAGTCGACGCGAACAGCCAAATCAAAATGGCTGCTACTATTGTTCATCTTCGTCTACTGGGAATGGAAAATTTAAAGAAAATAATGATACCACGTACTTGCGTAGGGAGAGACGTGAACTTGAGATTCAGATAATCGAGATGAGAGAAGAACTGAAGAAACTACAAGCTAACGTGACCGAACTTGAAAATGTTAAAATCGTGAGAGAAACATTTAATGGCCAAAGTGAGGTAGCTGATAGACAACACGAAGAGGAGTTCAAGAAAGAAATAGTTCGTGAAAAGTATGAGGTAAGATTACAACCAAGCTAGCTATTATATTCCTATTATGAAGTTCCTACTGCTTCTGTTGTCGCTGGTTATGAGATGTTGACCACCATTTTCTGTACCATTGGCTTGTTTGGGAATTATTTTATGTTGGACATTTATTGCTAGAGCTGCTCTTGACTTTGTTTCAATACTTTTGTTATTTTTTTCGTTTGCTCCACCCACTTCTTGTCTGTTTTTTGGTTGTTTGGATCAGCTTATTTCGTTTTGTTTCGTTTTGCCTGTCTTCGTTTTTTTTTTTTTTTTTTTTTTTTTTTTTTTTTTTTTTTTTTTTTTTTTTTTTTTTTTGTACATTTTCGTTCCTTTTTTAAATTGTAATTTTGGATTAAGCTTGTGTCTTCGTCTAGATACAAAAAGTGCGCACTTTCTGGGCACTAATGTTTTTTTAGTCTTATGTCATCTTATCACCAATAATGAAATCAATTTTTTTTTTTTTTTTAATTTTTTTAGGAAAGGAATGATAACCTTAGACAAGAATACGAGAAACAAATTGAAGAACTAACGGTACAGAATACGGAACTGAAACAAAAGGTTGGGTTACTTGAATGGCAGGTTGAGAACACCAAGCAGAAAATGGAAATTCAAGAAATGAGTTTTAGAAGAGAATTGAGCGAAATAAAAGAAAAGGTACTTTAAATTCATTCTTGCAAGTCAAATCTATATATGTTTATATCTTGAGTAATGTATATTGCAAACAAAAGCTCTTAATATGGTCGTCCCACTTGGCGCAACGTTTTTTTTTTTTTTCTTTTTACAACGCACGTGTTTCATTCCCTAAATTTTTTTTTTTTTTTTTTTTTTGCGCATGAGAGATACACGAATATGGATACAAATCAAACAAAGAATCTTATTCTCAAGGGAATGAAAAGTATGAAATGGGCAAACATTACACCCAGGCTTTAAAGGTCTGTCAAAAAAGGTAGCAGATTTTAAGATTCTTAGTGAGAGACTTAGCTGAGACGAGAATATCATGACATTGCCAGCAACTTTGATGCAAACCATTTCATAAGTTGATCGTGGTTCTAGCAGCTCTGCCACGTTGCGTGCACCTCTTGCAGAGCTAGACATACGCACGCACTACAATTATGTTCAGAGCAAAAGTTGGCACATATCAATGGCGCCTTGTATACGAATCAATTTGCCTTGCGCGGTACAAGGCGAAATCAATGTTAAAGAAAATAACACTTTTTTTGCAAGAGAAACCAAGCGAGCGATATTGATCAATAGAATCAAATAAGTATTCATTTTTCTAAGTATTAAATGTAATAAGTATTCAATGTTTATTATCGTACTACCCATGCTATTTTTCTAATAGACTTGTCGACGTACTGCAAAGTCTTTCCCTAGATTTTTAAGCCTGTTCCATACGCCGTTCTACTCATGTGCCGAACGTAATCCATCAATTAAGTACGGCAAAAGAGCGGCGTATTAATTGCCATTTAAAATCTGTCTTAATCGTTGCGCACAAAAAAAAAAAAAAAAAARAARAARAARAARAAGATGAAAARTAACAATAAACTCAGTAACATTGGTGATAATAAATTGTTTATGTTTCCCTCCAGTATTCATTGTCTTCGGGAGATTCAATTACTTCTAACGTTGAAGTACAGTCAGACAACAGCAAGCTGAAGGAGTTCTACCAACATCTGAGCTATGTTTTAGATAGAAATATCAGCAGTGAAGAGATGCTCAGGGAAATACGGACGGCAACAAGGGAGCTGCAGCATCACAAGGTAAATCATCCACTGATTGTATAATTTTTACTCTAAGTTTCAGCCACGCGGGTAGCACAGTTTCTCGATAGTACTGTGCACTTTATGACTAAATATTTTGAAGAGCGCAAACTGAATGCAAAATGTACTATTTCTTGAAGAATAAGAATATAAGCATGTGCCATATAACCCATTTTCTGAGAGACCCTCTTTACAGGTCTGACTTTAGAATAGGGGGAAATGGTTTAGCCGATATATTTTGAACAAGTATTCGTTTGCGCACTTCAAAATTTTTTTCACTCGGTTTTATCTTCGATATAGGCTGTCAATGCTGGTCATGATAATTCCAATGCAAATGTCAGCTGTAACCAAACTTCGTACACTTACAAAGAGAAAATGAATACAACAAATACTGGAGTAGATAAAGATGAAGCCAAGTCAGCCAGGGAGTATGCAAATCAACTCAGAATACAGGTAAATACCAATATTATTATAGAAAAGAAACAATGTTGTCTGCAAAGAAATTAAGGTAATCTGGAAATTGTAATAATAGCGTGGGACCGACTGGGAGCATTTATATTTCTAACTAAGATGACACATGACTCACGCTCTCGATACAGTTTTCTAAAGCAGCAGCTATGTTGGTCAATTTTTTTTAGTCCCAAAATCCTATTCACCACGGTCATGGTCTTTTCGAACTTCAGGATTAGCCTTCCGAAGTAGTAGAGGCGGAAAAATGCGTCGAGTTGGCATTGAAGTGCATTGCAGGACTTTTATAAACTAACTTCGATTTTGAGACGGCAATACCACAAAATATTGATGGCTAGTTGGGAGAAAATATATTTCGTATTGGACGGAGTCGCGATGCGACGGAGCCCAATCGAGGAATATATTTTCTTCCAATGCCGTCAATATTTCGTGATATTGCCGTCTCAAAAGCGCAATTAGTTTTGTATCGCGATTCTCCTATTTTGCAATTCAAAGCAAAGCAAAGCAAGGAAAGCGATCCTGATTTGCTTCAGATTCTCACTACCTAACAGCCATCTCCATAGCAACGGTTTCTGGAAAGGTTCGAGAAAGTAGATGTTCGGCATTTTTGAAATCGTTAACGTTGTTTTCATCAAAATTCCGCTATCTTTATAATAAAATTGGATGGGTATTAAGATTTTATTACTTGAACTGTTTAAAGGTATGTTTTTCTTTTTATACTTCGTTATTTTCATCCTATTGCATTGGATATTTGGTCGTCAAGTGTTCGCTCAAGCAAGTTTTAGTTTCGAGTTTTACAAAAACGAAGTAAGCTTAAGCTTTTTTTTAGACTGAGGTCATTATGATCTGTTAAAAATTTCTGGGCTAAAATTTATCATTCTAATTTGAAACCCAAATCTTCGAAGAAGAAAAAACTGCTTCTACGATTTCTTTATCATTCAATATAAATCAAATTTTCTTCGAAGTGTTAGTTTGAAAGAAAACAATCTTTTAACGTTATTTTTCACTCACCTGTAGCAGAAAGTGCAAGACATATAGCTTGTAATGATTTCCCTTATCGTTGTATTACATCGTCAGGAAATAATTTGTGACATAAAAGAGAAGATTTTTTCTTTCAGAGAACCATTCAGAAAACAGACGGCGTCGATACCAAAAAAATGCTATTTTCGCCGTCAATCAAATGCTATAAGCCAATCGGATATAGGATTGTGGGAGTGAATAGGGAACGCGCAATGGCGTTAGCATCATTATAAATTCAGTCTCTCTGCAGAGCGAATCTCAGAGCTACTTCGGGAAGGCGTCGCATTTCAGGGTTTCACTCAGGCATTAAAAAAATCAGGGGGATGGGGTTTAAAAAATGTAAAAGAAAAAAAAACCAGCAAAATAATTTACTCATATCTAGCAAGTAAAGAAAAAATCTTTTTATCATATTTTTAAATCTTTAATTTAATTTTCAGTTGGAAATCGCAGACACCCAGCTTAAAACGTGCGAGAAAATAATTCACCGTCTGTACGCAGAAAACAGTGATCTAAACAAGCTTGTTCTCAAGCTCGAAGGGAAACTAAAATCAGTTTCAAGGTCCACTGAAAAGCTGCAAAGAAAACGTGCTTTGTTACAGAAGCTTGTAGAGAAGTTAAGCGGCCATGTTGGCAAGGAACAGCTTCGTCAAGCTTACTTAGTATTAGAACTTGATCGAGATGTTGCCATCTAGATCAAAACTAGATTAATATATACAAAATTTGTATAAAAGGTGAACAATATACAATGAGCATGCAAGTGACTTGTTGAAACTGATTTATCTGATTTTTTATTTTCCGAGAGAAAAAATAATAATTGACAATTAAAATTTGACAAAATAAATCAGTGATTCAAATAAACAAAATTGACTGTATAAAGTGATACTATGAAAAAAGCTTTTAAAATGTAAAAATTTGAACCATTCACTTCAGAAACCGCAGTTCTGGCATGCAGATTTTTGATGCGTGCCTTTCACATGTACTATTTTCCCGCCATTTTTCAAACATGTCGTCCTTGTACTTTATTAACAGCTCTCCTAAGCAGCTTTTTAACTCGATCTATTATGCGAATTCTATTATATAGCTATTCTTTTTTCAAAGCATTTCCATGTAAATTTATTTGTTTTATTATATTATATATACCAAAGTAGTTAGCATCTGACTCAGTTGATATAGGGTAGTTGGAAAGGAATTTTACCTTTCAAGCATATTAAACTCGAGGATTATTATTGATAGGTATCAATTCTAAATATTAATTGTAATAGCAAATTTAATCTATTTATATATCTCAAGAGATTGTACAGTTTGTAGCAAATTGAATTTTAAATTCACCCTTTTATGAGATTTTGTAACAAAATTAACATTGTATTCATTTTAAGATACTGAAAATGTTTATAATACAGTGGCAGATCCAGGATTTTGTTCAGGGAGGGGTGCTGTGCACAATGTTAACCCAGGAAGGGGTGCACCCCTTAGAATGAAAGGCAAAATTCAAAATTGGTTATCTTTGAAGTAGAGYGCAAAGTGTAACCAGGGAGGGGTGCGCACCCCTGCACCCCTCCCCTGGATCCGCCCCTCTAATAGGATAACTTCTCATTGTATGATATTAAACTTAACAAAATTTGTGTGTAGACCCTATTTTAGTTTAAATGCAATTGATGTCGAATCTACCCACTAACCTTCCACAAATAAAGTATAAAGTAAAGAAAATGAAAACAAAAAACAAAAAAAACACACACAAATCATGAAGAAAAATAAAAATGCAGAGGGTTAGAGAAAGAGAAATGGAAGGATAAGGCTTGAGCTTAGAGCTATTGAGAAAGAAGTGGAAATAAGGATGGAAAACAAGTGAGAAATTTAGAGGAGGGGTGACAGTCACTACAATAAAATAAATGTTGCAAAAAGGAAAAGAAAGATAGGAATAGTAAGGTCTGGACTGGAGATTGTTTGGACACAGATGGTAGGGAAAATGAGAATGGACAAAATTCAAAATTCTAAAAAAAAAAAAAAAAAAAAAAAAAAAAAGCAAGGGGAAAAATAAATATAAACTGCTAGTATTTTTTTATTACCCAATTAAGACTACCCTTTTGATCTTTACAGCTACACTCCTACACACTAACCAGCTAATTATTACAATTTATCATCTTTTAATAAATCAATGATTATAAAACAAATACTTATATATATACATCTCCAACATTGACTGCCAAGTTTAAAACTATGTGCTGTGCAAATTTTTTAAAACTTGAATGTGAAGATAACATGCTAGTCACATCACAATGCAATATATGATCCAGTAATCAAATTAATTTATTTCTTTTATTTCACTCTAGACACAACTTTATTTATTAATGGCTGAGAGGCAATCAAAGCTGGAGATTTATCAATCCAGAACAGTTTAATTTGAATTATTAAAAACAAATTTTTGCATTTGATGATCAATAATGAACATTTATTTTGTTCCTGCAGCACTTAGACTTACTTTTGATGAATAGTAACAGTTGAACTACCATTTACATAACCAACAAATAACGATCTATCATTTCAACAAAAACTCTTTCATAAATAAAAAACTAAGTTTTTTGTGAAAATTTAAAACCCACCATGAATGATTTATTTTCATTGATTTTTGATGGTTGAAAAAAAGAGCAAGATTTATGTACACTCGATTTTTACAGATGTCATTTTCTGCCACAAAGAAAATTTTAGAGTTTAAAGTAAAACAGTTAAGAAACTTTTTGTGCAGTTTATCATTAACATCCTACACCGCCAAGGACCCAGCGATGGTCGCCTAGACGTCTGCGAGTGCGCACAATATTGGAATCAATCAAGGATGCATGGTGCTTGTCACGAGCATCTTTATTAACTCTTTGTTTTGTGAGCCTCAGTAAGCTTACATTACGTGCTGTGGCATTAAGAGATTCTTGTAACCCCATACCACCACGCCCAATCTCGCGAGCCTCTGGCAACTGAGTACCTGGATGTTGCTGCAATACAGATACCATAGGCCTATCAAGACGCTCTCTGACAGTTAAGTCAGAGTATGCCACAGGACCCTAAAAAATTAAAAGAAAATTTAACTCCAATATATTTTATAATAGGAGGATAAAAAATTATTATTCAGGGAACAGTGGATGATCTTGTAAAATTTCTTGTTATCTTTTATCAAGGTTTGATGTTCAAATTAAGCTGGGGGGAAAAACTAAAACATTTGACTAGCCAAAAATTTCCAGGAAATGAGTTGAAACCTTAACATTAGAGAAATAAATATTAGAATATACTAGAGCTTCAAACAAGACCTTTGGCAAAAATTTAAATAAATAAAACCCTATTATTACATTAAAAAAATCAAATAACTGGTGTCTTTTCGTAGCATTCTTGCACATTGTCTAGTTTGGTACAAATTTTTAATGCACTGATCATGATATCAAGACTCATTTAGGAAAACTTGGATAACTAATAATACTAATAGTTTTAGGGGCTCCATCAACATATTTTTTTGATGATAAACAAGCAAGACATACCAGTGTATAGCCAAGAGCCATCTCAGAAGCATCATACCACCTCTTATTGCGATGAATTGCCATACGCAACTCACCACCACCCACTTGAAGATGTTGCTAAAAGACAAAAATTGCATACGCTATAATTAAACATTTAAGCTTTGTCATATTACTTAAAATAATATTCTTTTTCACCATAATGCCACACCTCAAGCACACACACACAAAAGAACACTTGAATTTCAGTGGTGGATGACTATGAGGTGGTTTTCCTCACTCCTCTCGCTGCTGTGGTCAAGGTTCAATTCTTGGTTTAGTACGGATCATTCCCTGGATTCCCAAATTTTCCTCCCTGTGAGTTGAGTGTTTCTTAACTAGAATGTAGTTATCTGTAGTAGTGCATGTGGATCCAGAGCAAACGGGTGGCAGATATGAGAGGGGGTGCGAGGAGTCACAGAGTTCTTCTAGCTTGGAATTATTTGGCTTTGACATCAAAAATACTGATTCAACCCTTATTTATTGGCTGACTTACCCTCATTGTTACAGTCTCAGAGACTTTCTGGGTAATAGCATCATTAACAGAACGATGAGCTGCCTTTTGAAGTTTGACAGTCTGTTCAATGGCTTCAGCTACCTCTTGACGTAGAGTACTAGATCTCTGCCTGGCATCTGTTGCTTCAGATACAGCCCTGGCACATTCTGGTGTATATGGACCAAGAGGTTCAACAGCAGGCGTGGAAGGTTTCTCCAATTGATCCTTGAGTCCTGCTCCTCGGATGGATGAAACTGCATGGCAGATTAGATCCATGACACGTGATCTTTCTTGTATTGCAGCCCTCAGTCTTTTCCTGCAGCAATCTAGAACCTGTAGCTGTTTCTGTACTGATCTTAACTGTGCTTCAAGTATCCGCTTTAACTTCAACAAATGCTGTCGTTCAGATGCTAGAACATCATCAGCACCATCAGCACCCTGAAGAAATGCATTATTTTTACTATGGCGACCTTCATTTATTTTAAGATCTARTGTTACAATAAATGAGATTACTGTGATTGATAAATATATCTAATAAAAAATAATAATAAGACCAAACTATCCATCCTATCTAATTACCAGAAAAAGTAAAAGTACACATTCTTCCACTCTTTTTTGCTATTATTTCAAACCCAAACATTATTTGAAGCATAATTCATAAAATAAATAATTTTAAGGTGAAGTAACATATTTTTGTTGCTATAACAACCATCAACAATCAATTTATTCTATTCCTTTATGATTAAATTGTCTTATCATTCACAAAAACTAGAGTTGAAAAAAAAATTGAAAAATGGGGTTTGAAAAAAAAAAAAAAAAAAGAGAAAATTTAGGATTTTTCTTCAGAAAATTTAATTTTATAAACTTATGACACACCATTTTACAAAACGTGATAATTGTAAATTAATTTTCTTCGTGTTTCATGTGTGGATATTTTTTTTCAAATCGTTTTAGTGAATTATGCAAACTCTTGTCTTTAAATATACTATAAGGGTGTTTGACATGAAATCAATAGGAAGCATTTACAAAAGAGCATTTAACAATAGAATGACAGTAGAAATGCCATACAACAAGACAGTGACACGACGGGATGTGAACACCACATTGCTTTAGTTTAAAAGAGATAAAAGAAAAAGAATGATTCCCGTTAATAAAGAAAGACAATCTAGCGCTAGGCGCAAATACAAAAATAAATTTAGGGGGAAAAAAATATGAATAATTATGAAATGTATCCCCTCATAACTACAGCTTAAAAGCTACTCGTTCTCTAAAAAGATATCAAGGACATTTTGAAGCTTTAAGTTGTAATTCCGGCTCTTTATGTCAAGAACCACCTGTCGTTATGTTTTAAGAATGAAGCAAAATGGTTTTCCTTCACATTCGACCTTTTAAGATTTATCACCAACACGCTAACCCTAAACAAAAGAAATTACCATTTCTCGCGTGGGCCTTGTCTTTCTCAATCCAATGGACTGGTGATTGAGCTTGATATCTTTCCTTATATGCTCCAAAGTCTTTTCTAAATCTTCCTTCCCTCTTATCAAAGACTTTATCTCTTCATTTGTATCCAAGAGATTCTCTCGGAGCTTGACAAGGACAGCCCTGGTGGCTCGAACATAAGCATGAATCCTAGCATTACTTTGTTGAACGCAAGTGTCTCTAAGTGATGGTAGCGGATCAAGCTGCTGTCCCATATCACAAGCTTTATCTCCACGCTCAACAACTGTCTGGGACAGCTTGATATTCCGTATACTTGCGTTCTTCCATGCATCGGACCCGATCGTGGCTGATTTTTCCATGATTTTCTGCTTTGATCAAGGAAACTATGTAAAGCTCGATCAAGGAATTTTGGTTTGTTGTAAAATCTGAAAGAGAAGCTGAGAAACGTTACCATGCCAACCGCCTGGAAATTAGCCTCGCTCCGAATTAATTAGAATTGATTATCTAATTATAAACCGCTGACCACTAGTGTTTATTTGCTCACTTTTCATTTAACATTTCCAATTTTTGTTAACCACATTTAAGATGTTGAAAATTTCCTTTTTTTATTAAAAATATATGTATAATATAACATTTTACCTTGATTAAATTAATTACTCTAAGAAAATGTTGCATTAGGGTCAAAATTTTCGGATTATGTAATCCCTTATCCAGCAATCCAAATGTTCCAATCCAATATTCCTAGTTACTCATTAACATAAGAATACAAATCCGGAACAGAGAGCGAGAGTTAAAAGCTAAGTGTATTGCTAAGAAAATACCTCAAAAGATGCTATAAAAATCAACGAATTGGTAGAAGATATAAAATATCATGTCAGATATACAACTAAGAAGAGATAGTTTTGGCTATTTGCCCTAGTAAGTATAAAAAATGTCTCTCTCTCTCTCTCTCTCCTATATATATATATATATTTAATTTTAACTCAAACGGTGTTTTTATGATTGCTTGTTATTGTAGTCTAACACACTGGGCGCCACACGAACCGGCTATCAAAAAGTCATACGTAGGAAACACAGATCACTGGTCTAAGATGAAACACAAGGTATTGAAAAAAAGTTAAATATCATCATTTAAAAAATATTTTACTGTGAAATATTACTAATACTAAATAGTATTATCGGTTGCTTAGAACCGAATTATTATCCTTTTTACCCTAAATAATGGCAACTTCTGTATGTGCAAAAAATAACAATGGCTTATTGCGAGTAATAAATGTTAGATTAATGGCTTATTGCGAGTAATAAATGTTAGATTCGAAAATTTGACCAAATTTACTTTCATCAACTTATAAATTCTATTCCAATTTTGAGAGCCAAAAAATACCTCATCGAATAGTAATAGGGCGCGATAGAAGCATATTTTTCGTATCCCTTATCCTCATAGTAATGTTTTGCAAAATTTTAACAAAGTTCTTAGTTTTTTTCTATACAATTTTAAACATAATTACTAAATTGTAATTTTTAATCCTAATGACCTCCATCGCTTCACGAAAGAAATGTTTTGTGTACAGTTGGTAAAGTGTGCCTAATCGTTTTTATCCCAACAGGTCGCGAGTATTTCAATACACGACCGTACAGGAAAGACAAGGGTATTTCAGACAGATAGAATGAGGCATGAACAAATTGAAGGTAATACTAATTGATGCCAAATGCATCGAATTTTGGACGAAAAGGGGTACGACTTCGACACCAAGCTCTCCGTCCCGTTGCCATGGTGATACTCGTCTGACCTTCTTTACCTGTGTCGCAAAAAGGAACACGTTTTAACATTTTAAAATGTTCGTGTTTCTTTCCTTTTTAATAAGGTTTTGTTTTCAAGTCTAACTTTATGCTATAGCTCCATAATATTCTCAATAATTTTTGTTTTGATACTGCTCTTAATCCCATATAGTACGCAATACGAATTGTATTTTTCAATTGTCCAAGCTAAGTCAAGCTTGCGATTATCAAAAACTATACTTTGGCCTACTTTCAGTAAACTACTGATTGATTTATGATATCATTTGACTCCTGACGGTTTTATTTGTGGTGATCATCAAAACAAGTGACTATTTTCTTCTGTTAATTGACGAATTTACTCGATAAAATCAAAGACACTGTATTTTTGGAGTGATTTCTTTTGTTTTAGTTTCATAAGCTTTTAAGTGAAGCATTTAATACGATATGCTAATTATAAATGCAAGGATAAGAAACTTTGATGGGGAAAGCAAATCTGTATATTTGAACATTTTTGGCTCCTTGTCAAAGTATGAAGATTGAACCTTTTGACTTGCACTATGGGTGAGACCGGCACGTTTCGCATTTGATGCATGTCGCTGTTTTTGAAGACTCATTTGCTTAGGCTTAGCCTCGTTCATAAGTCAGCTATTCACATTCGTGGGATTTCAAAACATTGGTATGGTTCAACCTGCACATTCTTTACATTACAATAGTTGACTTTTGCAACATATTTGCTGTCAAGCGAGGGTATAAAGTCTGTACAGATGAGGCCTTAGTCATAAAACACAGCGGCATTTACCGAATGAGTAGAGGGACTTCGATCATGAAACAAATCTCATAGGTTTTTTAACCACTAGTATCAGGGTCGTGACAAGGGATGTGGGATCAGGAATCACATGCTTGGGATTGGAATCACATACTACAAATCAGGGATCACAGAAAAGAGATCGGGATCGCATGAATAGATTATTTATGGATTATTTATAGAGGGCATTAGGGATCAAAATACGCGAGTTTTTTGGAATTATGGATCAATATATTGATTACAAATTTGAGATCAATTACAAAAAAAACCCTCGTCACGACCCTGCTGGTATGTACATCTAACTAAACTGAATGTGTTCGTTTATTTCTGCTTTATATTTTGCTTGTCATTCAGGTAAGAAACCCCACGATAACCTGATACGTTTTCGGCACGAGATAGATGGGACCCTCATRAGGATAGGAGGCCCAAACTTTTCAGATCTGATAGTAAAAGAGTTACATGGTAAACTGCCTGGAGATTACTACAAGCCGCGTCCGCTGCCACCAAAACTCCTCAGGACAGCGGCTAATGCAAGGGCAAAGGAGGGGAATAAATACTGGTACATCGAGAAGAAGTACACGAGTAAGAAAGGTGCGTAAACTGAATAAATAATAATAATAATATAGTAAAATAGAAAAAAAATTGAAAGGAGTTTCATTTACAAGTGCGCGTACCTAGCTGATCTGAGAGAAAATGCTAGCCAATCAGAATGGATTTTTTTCTCTTTTTTTTCTTTTCTTTTTTATTGTTTATTTATTATATATATATATATATTTATTTATTAATTATTATTATTATTATTATTTGCAAAAGTGTTGTGTCACTTTTTCTCTTGGAATTATGGATTTCTAGGCAACGAAAAGAAAATTAAAGTTGCTAATAAGACAGATAATGTTTTTGGTTCATTCGCTGTCGTGCGGCGCGAAGATTGCTTGTGAGCATGCGCATCAAGTAAAGAAAGTATTATTATCAAAAATTTATTTCTATCTCAACATATTTTACTTCAGACCCTGGAAAGTATACATTGGGATCATCTAAAACATTTCTTGGTTATGGTCAGCCATAAGTGAGATATCAAGACTGTCATGATCAAGTGAAGCTCAGTTAATGCCCCTCTTGCTGATGTCGAATTTATTATTTGTCAGAACCAGTGGAAGTAGAATATAATTGGGCAGCTGATCGATGATACATCAAAAAGGCAATATTTTACACCGTGTTTATGTGCTGTGAAGTACTATTGTGTGGTATTCTGACTCGAGGAATATCGTTTAAATTTAAAAGAAAAGTCCAATCATTAAAGAATTTTCAAACTCAACTCAACTCAAAAGGGTGAAACGTTTATAAAGATAGGCAGCTATAAAGGAAAAATTCCTTAGATATACAAGGAAAGCATATTGAGGGGTGACCCATGCATGGCATTGCTGTTAGTTCAGTTACTAAGAGCGTTGATCTGTTGTGCGGGAGGTCGTGATTCGAGTCCCGGCCGGACCAACACTCAGGGTCTTGAGATAACTAAGGAGAAGGTGCTGCCTTCGTGATTACATCTACAAATGGTTAGACCTTCATGTCTTCTGGGACAAGGAATTAAAACAGTAGGCCTCGTCTGTCCTCATTATAACCCTATCAAGAGAATATTGAGTAAGCTTACTTAATATTCTCTTGAACCCTTTACAAAGCGGACGTAAAAGACCCACTTAAGACGCTGTTGACTACCATCTTTAGTGTCTGTGCTTATAATTCCTACAGGGCCCTTTGCAAATGTATGGACGCTTTCCTAGGACCAACCAAAACCCAAACGATTTAGATTAATCTGTTCCGTTTATTTAATTGTCTTGACTAAGTAATTGAAAGGTAAAGATAATAATGAAAATTTCTAATCGTAGTTACGACATACTGCGCGTTATTAATTATTAGTCAATTAGCCATGATACGGCAGCCATGTTGGTTTAAACAATATATTCCACCAATCATGGTCTCGCATTCAAGTGCTTGAGAATGCGGGTGAAACAAAGATTTTTATCCTCATGAGAATAAACATGGCCGCCGAGTGATAAAGGTCCATGGACCAACGCTCATAGATGCTGCGCGTGATAAACGGTATAGTTTTATTATAAAAATGAAGTCAAGTATTTACTAATCGGTTCTGGCTAACAAATGGCTTCGCGTCATGTAATTGTTGCGCTTCCATTGCGCTAAGTAGCCTCCCACACGCGTTCACAGCCGCATTGGACGTACTCCGTGGAGTGTGTAAATCATTTTCAACAGCCCGACTTGGTCCTGTCGTATGACTTCGAAATATATAAACTGACATATAAAAATACGTGATTATTAGAGAATTGCGTCTAATTAATTAACGTGATAACAAAATTAAATGCTTTAAGTTATCCATTCTGCTAAATTGAGTTTCGTCATTTGCTTTTGTCTTGAAAACAAAAAACAAAACAAAAAAACAAAACAAAACAAAAAAACAAAAAAACAACAACAACAACAACAACAACAACAACAACAACAAAAAAAAACGAATCGATTCTAGCTATCGTTAATAATGAAATAGACAGAATTGGATCTGAATTGGGCTTCCTGTGGTCAAAATGTTTTTCACGAACAACATCATCCTACCACTGCTTATAACCTGCTCATAAACAAGTCCAACTATTACTCGTTTTATCCTACTCTTAACTTAACACAATTAATATGGCTAATAAAACATGACGAATAATCAGTTTTATAATGCTCTGCATGAATGGATGACCACGTGCTATTGTTTATAGCGCGCGGGACGCCTAATTGTTAAAGCTAGCACAAAGCTAGCACAAGGAAATAAACATCTGATATCTGTTACGGTTCAAGTTCCTGTCGCTGCGATTCTTTTAGGACAGCGGTACCGCCTTTTCCTGTGCATGCGCAGCATCTTCTTTCCACTGGTTTCCCAATCAAGTGCAATCAATAGATTGTCAACATAGAGTACCCGTTTTTTCTTGTCTTCTTTACCGAGCAAAAGGTAGTGCCTCTTTAGAATAACTGGACTACAGTCACAGGTTAATTCTCGTCCTCGCAGTTCCAAAAGCTGTCGTCTAGTGATCTTGACGATACCTTTTTTGTACTTCTTGGTCACTCGAACACGCAGTTGAAGACGACCATTTTTCCGTACCTCAGACTCGACCTTTGCTCTTATAACTAAGATTGAAAAGAACAAATTGTTTAAGGTAGTATAATACTATTTATTCTATGATCCCACATCATTGTCAAGTCAGTGTGCAGGTTAACCAATTGCTGAAGTCAATACGCAACTTAAGCAATTGCTGAAATTAGTGTGCTCTTGAACAATTATTGATATCAGTGCGCACTCTTGAACTGATTAATTGTTGAAGTAGTGCGCACAATTAACAAAAAGGAATTCAAGCGCACTTTAAACAATTGTTGAAATTAGGGCACACTCTTGAAATGTTGTTGATGTCAATGCGCAACTTAAAATATTGTTGCAACCAGTACGCACCACGCTTAAACATTGTTGAAGTCAGTGCCCATCTGTTAAAAATCTCTTTAATGTCATTGCCAATGTTTCAGTATGCACTATTTTTTCATTTATTAAAGTCACTATACGCAAGCTTGCTTAGTCTTTCTTGGTTAAATAGCATTATTTTTTTTTAAAATGATAAAGAAAATAATTGTTCGATGCACTGGGTGCGCACATTAATATACTAACGTAGTTAAAACCAATCAAAAACCTTTTTTGAAAATTTAATAAGCAATTGGGAGGTTTGCTCTTAGTGAGTTTTTAACTAGTTTAAAAAACATCCAAGCCTTTTAAATATTTGATGGAGGGTTTGAATATAGACGGAAAACCTGTCTCGAGTTTTGAATTCAGCCCCGCTCTCCTCTGCTAGTATCAATGCTGAATTCAAAACCTGGGACAGGTTTACCATTGAAATTCAAACTCGACATCAAACAATAGAAATAGGGCGTGGTTGGTTTTTAATGCCAATGTAAGGTCATTGTATTACGTAATGTCAAGGTAATGCCAATGTAGGCGCTAGGTTTGATAAACGTGGATTATAGTGTTGTAACTAATTTCTATACCGTAATCACTGAGGCAGAATCTTTTCATGATGTAGTCTTTGGAGCATCTTTTATTGCACGTGTTTGGTACTACCTGAGTTGTTGCTGATGTACTTTGTGACGAATAATTAGGATCTAATTATGAAGATAAGAAAAACGTTAGAATTGGCTCTATATATAGGAACTTTATGTTTGAGTTAAAATTTTGGTTACTGTTCATAAAAATTCTCTAAAACTCTTGCTGCCCCTACCACTTGAAAAGGTTTTACAAGATTTAACGAATATACTAACTTGGACGAGCCGTGCATCGCCGTCGGAGTGCTAAGCTTAGTGGTCCCCACAAATTTCGACCCGTCTTGTCACTGAATGCGATGTTGATGAAAAGAAGAACAACGCCTGCCTTCTTTCCAGTACACGGAAATGACACACGAAAACCTTTTGAAAACAAAATTAAGAGTGGCTGTCCGTAACGGTCGAGAATGGCTGTACATCGAAGGAATTTTCAAAGTTCTCATATTTTGTCAGAAGATA